TCCTCGGACGAGATTTCTCCCGGACAAGCGCCGGGATTGGCCCCTGCCGAACTCCACCGCCCAATGAGAACTTTGGCTCGTTTACGTCACTGATCTCTGGGCAAATCCCCGGGCAGCTGCGGGGGGTGGGGTAGCAGGAAACCGAAACCGAAGAGGCGAGGCTGACCCGAGCCCGGCGGAGTCTGGGGCGTGCGGTGACTTGCGGTGTGCTGCAGGGGAACGAACTTCTGCACCCCGAGGCCCCGGCGTAGAACTCGAGCGCAGGAAGCCCCTGAGCCTTCCCAAACCGCCCGCTTCCCGATTCCCTTCCGGGACGAGGCGGTAGAGCGCTTGCCAGTGCTCCACGTTGGCCACGACTATTTCGTGGCCTAACTTCGCTTCCCGCACCGGAGAGGATCTTAGCAAATATCCTAGGGGCCTGTTTACAAAAATACCATTGCCAAAGCGACTGCAATGCATGAGGCGCTTTGCGTAAAAACTACGAGGCAGGCATTGTCCCCGTTTGACAGAAGGGGAAACTGAGGCTCAGGCGCGCTGCTCCAACTGCAGCTGCCGCGCGACCGGGACCAGGCCGCGGGATGCGAAGTGGCCGAAGTTTCGGCCGCGCCCAGTTCCCAACTCTCGGGGTCCTAGGCTGGTGAAGTTCAGGTTCTGGGGCGGGGTGTTCAGTCCCGGTGAGCTCAGGGTCGTCAGCCTTCACAGCCAGCCTCGGCTCGACCCTGCCTGGAGTGGGGCCTTAGGAACAGACAGCAAGTTCGGTGTGTGCGGGCGGAAAGGGACGGCGCCGCTGTCGGCCCTGAGCTGTGGGCCCCCGTGCGGCCTGCTCTGCCGTGCCGAAGCTGCAGGGACTTGTCCACCTACCGGCCGTGCTGTGCCCGTCCAGCCCCAGCGGCCCCTTCCGGTCCGGTCCAGCTCAACCGCGTTTGGAAGTCCGTTATCCTCCCGCGTTCCTAGAGTGCTGTTGTGGGCCCCTGTAGGGCCGGGCCACATTTCTCTGACACCCTCCTGCCCCTTCCATCTCAGACCCTGTTTAACCTGAGGAAGATCTAGACGGAGACTGCCCTCTGGAAAAGAGATTGCACATAACCACTGCCGGAGGGAGCCTCGAGATATGGCGCCTTGGAAACGGGAAACACCACGAGCAGGAACTCTTTTTGACCTCTTGTTCTTTGTCCCCTGAAGCAGGTCATAGAAACTAGGCTTCCCCTTGGCCCTTCTTCCCTGGTCCGGACAAAAAACCTAGGAAGGTCCCTCTGAACTTCTCCCCTGAAGACTCACCGGACAAATGTCCTTCCGTATCCAAAAAGAGTGTCACAAAGACTGCCAAGAATCAAACCGACAGACCTTGCTGAGTTCCCCTAGTATATTATCATTTTTATATTACTTTATGTCTTTTGATCATATTTTTGGATGACCGTCCACAAATCTTCCTTTTTCTTCTTTTTTTTAAAAATCTTCCTGTTGTTGTTTTGATACTGGGGATTGAACTTGGGGCTTTGGATTGTGAGGCAGGTGGCAGAACCACTGAGCTAAAGCCTCGGCCCAATCTGCCTGTTCCTTAAGGACTTCATTTCTGAAGGCTTCCTTGTCGTATAAAACTTGGGTTAAATACAATTAAATACATTTTTGGGCTGGGGATTTAGCTCAGTGGTTGTGCTGCCTGCCTCCCAAGTTCAGGGACCCAAGTTCGATCCCCAGTACCAAAAAAAAAAAAAAACAAGCAAACATTAAATACGTTTTTGTGGTTTTCTCGTGCTATTACATCTTTTGTTAAAGTAATCTCAGCTATGAACCTTATAATAGGTATACATGGTATACGCTTAGTTAAAATATTGTATTCAGTTCCACCACCTGCCTCTCAAGCTCAAGGTCCTGAGTTCAATCCCTGGTTAAAAAAAAATTAAAAAAAAAAATATATATATGTATTATATAGAGAGAGGGAGAGAGAAATATATCTATATAGATAGACATATATCTATATACATATATAAAGTAAATACACACACACACAAACACACACTCAAACATCAGCTTATCTTATGTTGCAAGGTTTACCATTTATGAGCAATCAGAACATGACTTTTAACACTTACTTTCATCTTCTTATTCTATTTAAAAACTGCAACGTTCCTATTTGGCAAAGATGCAAAGAACCTGTTTGAATTTTTTTTGTAAAGAATACCCTGGTTTAGGGCCAGAATAAATAAAGGAGCATCTCTAAAGGAAAAGCTAAAAGTTACATGAACTAAATTGAATTTTAACCTATATTTCTGTTTTATAACAGACAAACTAGTAACTTTGTGCTACTAGGAACTGACTACTTTTGTGCTAAGATCAGGCTTCAAGCTACAATACAACAGGTTTAAAAGGAAAAAAAAAGGGTTTTGGGGGGTTTTTTTGGTTGTTTTGTTTTGTTTTGTTTTTGCTTTTTGGTGCTAGGGATTGAACTCAAATCCTTGAGCTTGCCAGGCAGGCCCCAGAACCACTGAGCTAAATCCCTGGCCCAAAAAAGTTATTTTGAATGCTAATTGTATTAACTGTTGTGATTTTTGAGCCGAAAGAAATCAAGAGATAGCAAATCTCTTGATTTGAATTGTCTTTTAACATTTTTTTTTCAAATTTGATGGCTTTCTTAGAAACTTTTTTAGTTAAAAAGTTAGTGAAAATAGATTATATAATAACAACAAATCCAACCTTTAACTTTAAAAATTCTCAGATTCCCATGTTTCCTCTGTATGGCAAAAAGAGAAATTATCAATAAAGTGAGAACCATAGCCTTAGCCAGACTGTCCACATTATAGATCTAATTGAAAACAGTGTCAGTACAGGTGTCTGTTTAAGCTGTGGTGAAGTAGGGGTCATTAGTGGCTCTACTTACCTGCACCGGGAGCCATACTGGAGTCCTGCTTTTTGAAGAAAAGCCTCAGGTCTTTCCAAAGGTTCATAGGAATAGCTTTCTTCTTTTGGGTGATCTTTTTCATTAGACAGTTCAAGTGAGGCTGGCTTTATCCTAGAAAGGTGAATCTAGTGCTATCCATCTCTACCATCTTTACTGCAGTGGGTGTGGCAAGGATTACTGAAAAGGGGCCTTTCCATTTCAGTTTTAATTTGCCTGCAAGAGTTATTTCTTTCCAAGTTTGAATGAGCACTTGGTCTCCTGGATGGATACTAGGCAGTCTCCCTAGTAGCTGGCAGGACTGTTGTACTTGGCCTAGATTAATAAAATAATTTAGAAGTATTGTGATCTCTGGGTCTATTACCACATCAGAAGATAGAAAAGGCCTCCCATATAATACTTCAAATAGACTCATATTTAGCCCAATTTGGGGGTATTTCAAATCCTCATGGGCTATTGGCAATAATCAGAACTAAGATTCAGCAGAAGTTTGGCAAAGTTTTGCTAGAGTCCACTTTAGGATCTGATTGGCTCTCTTGACCTTTCTGGAGGACTGAGATCTTCATGCAGAATGGAGATGGTACTTTATTCCTAAAGTCTTTGCCATTCCAAGTTATTTGAGAGATAAAAGAAGGTCCACTGTCACTTTGAAGGGGGTGGGGCAATCCAAACTGGAGGATGCTTTCTCTGAGTAGCACCTTGAATACCTCCATAACCTTCTCTGCATGGGTAAAGAAAGCTTCAATTCAACCTGTAAAGGTGTCAGTTAGGACCAATATCTGTTTATATCCTCCGCACGATGGCATGTGGGAAAATCTGATTGCCATCCTGCTGAACCCTCAAGTCTTCTCTTGTGAGACTCCAGTATTACTAGGCAGATGTTTCTGACGAAAACAGCAGCAGTACCTTCTTATTTATTTTTTCTTAGAACGCTCCATCAACACTATGACTCCCTAGAGGGAAGGGTGCTCCCTGAGCAGGGTGGAGCCCCTGGGGTCTCCAACTAGCCATTAGAAAGAGTAAACTTCTAGGAGATCAAGGTGGAGCCCCATGGGAGCTCCCTTAGCCACCTGAAAAACAATATCCTTTACATTTATCTCATTAATAAAAACTACTGCCTATCGCATCACAGGCCATTTATATTTCCTTTGAGAAGTGTTTATTTATTTCATTTGCCCATTTTGATTGGGTCTTCTTTATTGGGGATCTATTTTTTGAAAGTTGTTTATGTGTTCTAGGTATTCATCCTCTTTGAGGAGTCACTGGCAAATTTTTTCCCCATTTTGTACTGTAGGTTGTCTCTATTCTGTTGTTTCTTTTGCTGTGTGGAAGCCTTTTCAGATCTGATATAATATTTGCTTGTTTGTTGGTGTTATTTCTTGTGCAACTGTGGTTCTTTTCAGAAAGCTCTTGCCTGTGTCTGTGTCTTTAACAGTTTTACCTAATTTATCTTCCAGCAGATCCAGTGTTTCTGTTTCACTGTCTAGGTCTTTGATCCATTTTTAAATTATTTTAGTAAAGAAAGAGAGCTATGCATCCAAATTCATTGTTCTGTAAGAAGAGACTATTTCTCAGAAGTTATATAGTATGCACTTGTCAGTAGCAGATATAGTTCCCATTAAGCAACATCTGCAATGGTGTTGATTTATTTTCTGCTACTATTATGAAATATCTGTGGTAGAGTAGTTTATAAAGAAAAGAGTTACAGGCTGGGCATTGTGGTGTACACCTTTAATCTCAGCATTCAGGAGGCTGAGGCAGGAGGATTGCCATGAGTTTGAGGCCTGCCTGGACAGCATATTGAGTTCAAGGTTAGCCTGAACTACATGGCAAGACCCTGTCTCAAAAATAAATAAATAAAAGGTTAAAGTGCTGCAGGTCCAAGGGCACGACATTAGCTTCTGCTCAGTTTTGGTAACCCTCATGGCAGCTGACACCACAGTGGTGAGAGTGTGTTCAAGAGGAGAGATCACAGGGCAAGGCAGAAAGCACATAGCCTGTTGGTGCTGGAAAAGGCAATGGAACAGTTTCTCTGTAAGAACCTCCAGAAGGAGAGCACAGCCCTGCTGACTCCCTGATTTTATCTCAATGAGACCAAGGTTATAACCAACACAAGCCTTCTGGGGGAACACTACTCATATTCTGACCATAGCAGGGGTTACCTTCCCGTTGGTGCTATGAGACTTCGTTTTATGCAGTCACCTTCTTCTGGGTTATGGGGTATGTAATAAGATCAAAGACTTCCATGGATATAAGCCTACTGCCACGTTTCCTTTGCTGAAAAACATGTCTGTTGTAAAATGTAATTCTGTATGAGACACCATAGAGATAGAAGGCATCCTGTGAGCGTGCAAAGCTACAGTTTATGGAAGTGAATGAGTTTTGGGAGGCAAATCTATGGGTGTCTGTGGCAGAAAAGATTAACTCAGCAGGCCTGTGTTGCTCATACTCAGTGCAATACCACCTTGACCAGCTCCTGGCCATTGCAATCATGAGATGTTTTGGCTGAAAAGAGTATTTTGTATGTTAGCATACGAGGCCTAAAATTATCTGTGTAGTATTATAAAATTATTATAAGTTTAATATTGTATGCTGTCTTAACATCTGTCAGATTGGAAAGGCCTCAAATGGCCTGACTGCAAGTTTTCCTCCCTACCCTGCTCCTGTGCAGGGAATGGGAAAGGGGACATTACCAGAACCACTGCAATGAGTCCTGGTCTCCTGTGAGCCACTACAATACAAAGTGAATTAAAGAATAAAGACAGGAAGCAAGATTTAGAGAAAAGGCTAGGTTTGCAGCCTGATCAATGCTGCTCTGAGCAGCAAAGACAAAGGCACCCCAAGTCTGCCACTATTTATCGGTGTTATAGGGAGTATCAGATGACTCGGAGGGCAGCAATAATCCTAAATTGACAGGGATCTTGTAAGCAGAGGAAGTACCCGATGACTCAGAGGGTGGTGGTAATCCTATGACCATGAGGATATTAAACTGATGAAGGTCTTAGGTGATGAGGAGTTTAAAATGATTAGGATGGTGAGATGAGC